GAGGCCACGCGTGTCCCCCAGCGCGGCGCGGGCAGCCGATGGCCAGCTCCGCCTGGCGAGCGCTTTTGAGCCACTTTCACGGGGTTGACCCACGCCGGAGGGCGTCGAGGCAGTAATCGCAAAAAGTAGTGTGGGAGTGTGGGGGTCCGAGCCCCCGCAGCCGCCGAGCCTTTCCTCTCACCTGTGGCCGCTGCTGGCACGGGAGAGGGTTGGAGAAATTACCTTGCCGCTCCCCTCCTGCCTCAGACCCACGGGGTAAACGGTGCTGCCGGGGGTTCCCCTCGTGTTTGTTCGCAGCTCTCTTAAAGTCTGTGCTGAATGATTGCCAGAGCTGTGCCGTCATGAGTGCCTGTGGGAGGGGGCTGTGCCTCCTCACCCTCTTTCGCTGAAACAGGTGTAACTGCTTAAATCCCCCTTTTTTCCCCCTGTGTCACCTTACAACTTCACTGCACCAGCGGCAGAATTCAGACCCACGAGAAAATCAATCCCCATTTTCCACCGAAGTGCAGCAAAATGAAGCGTCTGTGTATCAATACCTTATTTAGTCAAACAGCTCCTGAACACCCATTAAAAATATATTAAAAATGTTATTTCTCGATGAGCTCTCTGCTGTAGGCTCGAGATAGGGCCCTGGCTCAGCTTCCTTGCTCTGCTCAGCTGTAATCCCAAACAGAGCTCGGTTTTGGGGGGATGATGTCTAAAGCATCCTTGTTTAGCAGTTAGGACATAAAATTATACAAGTGCTTTTAAGTTTATAATTGTGATTGATTTGCAGCGTAGGTAGGGGCAAAATATATACCCCTTTTTTTTTTTCTTTATTATACGTAGAAGAATGTACCTTATGAGGATATAAGGGGCTTAGTTATCACTTGAAAAGTTGATGATGCAAATCGAAGGTGGTGTTTGCTCTGTTTAAGCACCATTAAGAAACCATTAAGTAATGATTTCTCGAAATCCATATGGAAATAGGGACTAATTCCAATGAACCCAGAGCCAGCTCTGAACTGTGGTGTGCCTGGGTAGGTGTGATTCAGAGTGATGAGTAATTTAGGAGAAAGAGCTTCAGCTTCCTCCCTGGCTCCCAGGGTGGATTTTCCAGGGTAGAATGGGGGGAGGTATATAATAATCCTGCTTTTTTGTGCTCTGACATGGATTCATCTTGGGATATGAAATTCTGCAAGGGTTTTGATTTGGTTTGTAGGGCTCCTTGTCAGTGGATCTTGGTGATTCTCTCCTCTTTAGGCTGAGGGACCCTCATGGCCTGCTGCATGGCTTTGGATTTTCTGCAGTAGAGGAGGAAGAACACTGATCTGTCAGGCAGATGCACTGATTGCTCTGAGATGTCAGTGCTCACTGGGATCTTGCTCCAGGTTGGGGATTCCCAGTGCTGAGCTAAAAGCATGTGGCTCTACCTCCTGCCCCAGCATGAGCTCCTCTGCCAGCCGCAGACACCTCCCTTGCTGGCATGGCGGCACTGGGTAACGCTGGAGAGTGAAGTCTGAGCTGGTCGTGGGTGTGAACCATGCCTGAGGTTTGGGGCAGAGGGGGTGTTTCTGTCGAGGTGGGATCTCCGCCACTTTCTGTTTCTCAAAGCACAGCATCTCAAGGAGTGTGAGGGAGAGCAGCCCCTGTGCAGGCTCTGAGCCGTCACCAGGGAGAGGCAGCTAGAGACCAGCCCTTGCCTTTCTGCCAGGTACTCGGGCGCTGGGCTAATACAAGCAGCAGAAGTCCTCAGTGGGCTTGGTTTCATAAGAACTTGTTGACTTTTTTTAGCCTTGGGCTGGGCTGAGATAGTTTTCTGCAAAAACATCTCCCCTTGTGTTAGAGACAGACCTCTTCGGCACTGGGTGATCTGGTGACGATGGGTTTATCGCTGCAAGCTGTCCTCCAAAAGCACCCAAGCCTTCTAACAGTCAGTGTAGGCACTCGCTCTGTTCTCTGTGTAGGCGAAGGTGTTTTAAAAGGGAGGGATTTGGATTTTGGATGTTGCTGTTTCTACTGCTTTTTTATTTTCCTCATGTGGCTGTTAGGAAAGCTTTTAGGCACTTTAGAAGAGATGGGTTTGATCTCCTGGCAGTCTAATTTTGAAAAATCAATCATAAGACTTTCTGCATTTATTGAAAATTAAGTCTGTGATAAAGATGTGATTTAACTTGTGAGAGCAAGAGAATTTTTTTAATAAGATATTAAATCTGTGTTCTTTAAAATACAGTATGTGAAATATGGCTCTTCCAGAGCAAATCTTGTCCGATTTATGTTTATTCCCCATTTGCAGTAGTGCTGTCTGATAGTGAAATAGCAGTGCCATCAAATGAAGAGCTAGAGGAGCATGTAGTTGGGATTATCAAGTTTATAGTGTTGGTGGTTATTTGGGATGGTATAAGCTGCAGTCAGTTGGAGGATGAAAAGCTGATTAATATCCATCTAGATGTTGTGCAGAAGTGTTAATCTTTAAACAGCTTTCCTTGCTCTGGTAATGTTTTGTGGAAGTTTACTGAGGCATTGCATTAAAAAAAAAAATAAATCTTTCATTCATCTAGTTAAAAGCAGAGACAAAGGTTTGGTCTGGCTGGTCTCTGACGGTGGCCACTGCTTGATGCTGGGGGGAACCATGCATCCACACTTCATGTCAGGTTATAAATAGGTCAGGAGGATACATTTCCCAAGCTCCTACATTCAACAGACTTGAATTCTTAAGACCAATGGTCGTGGTCAATGCTTAAATGTGTGTGAGGGTGCGGAGAGATTGCTGTCAGAAGGGAAGAAGAGTAGTATCTTAGAAATATGGCCAAAGGTTTTTTGAGGGAACAAGAAGCTTGGAGGATGATCCCTTTGCTCTGTCCCAGGAGTATCAGACAAATTAATTGGATAACATGTGGGTGGCATTTCAGAGAAGGAAATTAATAGCCCTCTTACTGCTGGGACAACTTCCACGGAAACATTTTGTGAAAAGTTGGCTTCTTTGAACCCCCTTCATAAACCACAGCAGCAATGTCCTTTGGATTTGTGGATGAGAAAGCTCCTGGTGTAAGGACCCTTTTGTCATATTTTTTCCTATGAATCAGAAATCTATTTTCTACTTTCTAAACCTGAATGTATTATTTAGTTATAAAACCTCTGTTATGTTTGTGGGTCCCCTCCCTTTTTTCCTACTTCCAGAAAAAAAAACCCCGACTTTCAGAAAGTTGTGGAAGAGACAGTGCAGCATGGACAGATCCTGGGGTGGGGAATGATATGTGACTCCTCACGCCACCACCCACACACAAATCAGGGGAAGCATTCAGGTAGCTTAAGGTGCGTAATTGAATTAAATGGTATTAGATGGAGCGAAGAGGAAGCTTTACTTAAGAACAGTGATCTCTTGGTTGTGAAATTTTTTTCCTCTGTGGGGGAGAGCTATAGCATTGCAGTAGGAGCCTCTTGATGTGGGCTGATAAAATCCTGGAGAAGGTGGGATGGAGAGAAATTGCTGTGCAGTGATTGCAGGCAGGGGAAAACTAGGAAAAAAACCCCACAAAACAAACCAGAAAAAGTTATTCTGGTGCTTTAAACACATGCGTGGATTTCTCCTGCTACAGTTCTATAAAGTGTTGTTTCCTTTAGTGTTTTTTTCCACAATTTCTCGCATGATTGAAAGTAAAACAAAGTTAAGATGACTTCTTATTCCATTTCTTCATTTTCCAGATACTTAGTGGGGCATGAGGAATAGGGGCCTTAAAAGTTAAGTGGGAGAGTGTGCTGGAATTGTGGAGAAGTTGGTTTCTTCCTTCTGCAAGGATTTGACAGGAGCAGTGACAGAATAAGACATAATATTTTAGGTATATTAGACTAAATTTTAGTCTGTGCTTGGATCCTGTAGTGTGGAAAAGTGTTGTAGGAGAGTTCTGCCTTTCCTGCTGCACAGCGGCAGCAGTGTCTCGCTGCTGGCCACCTCTTGGTTTCTCTGTGGAGATGTTAGGTTGGTGCAGTATGTTCTCTGGAGGTTTTGAAGAACCCTGAGCTCCCTTCTGTGCATGCACACCAGTATTCAAATTCTGACATAATGGCAAGTGTCAAAGTGCATGGGCAATAAAATAGCACTGGATCACAGAATTGTCTAGGTTGGAAAAGACTTTGAAGATCATCCAGTCCAACCATCAACCCAATATTAACAGTTCCCAACTACACCATATCCCTCAGAGCTAATTTGACCCTAACGCATTTTCTTCTGTTTTGCAGAGATGCTGCAGTTTGTCAGTAACCAGGCTGGGGACTTTCCAGATCTGTTTTCGGATCACTTGTGTGGCAACTTCCAGGGCAGCAGCAGCAGTGGCAGCAGCGGTGGGACCCTGGAGCCGCAGTTGCAGCGGCCGTACAGCCAGGTGCAGCTCCAGCCTTTTCCGCCACCCCCTGCCTCCCCCCAGCTCCAGAGCCTGCCGGTCAAAGCGGCGCAGGCAACACCTCCGGCCCTTCCGCGGTCGGCCCCTCTCCTACAGCGCCGCCCCCCACTCCAGCCTCAGCTCCAGCAGCAGGCCGTGATGATTACACCGACGTTCAGCTCTGCTCCCCAGACCAGGATTATCCAGCAGCCGGTGATCTACCAGAACGCGGCCACGAGTTTCCAAGGTAGCGGTTGAGGTGCTCAGGCTATAGGTGTGCCTGGTGCACTCACAATAAGCGGTGTCAGTGTTCAGACTCCAAAAGCATCCTCGGCCATGACAAGCCTGATGATCTTTTGCTTGCAGTGCTGCCTGTGGGGCATCCCTTCTCCTGCCTATGTGGCTTTGGAGTTGGGAGAGCATGAGAAACAGTTACAAATGAGACCTTGTACAACTCTTGAGATAGTTATCTTCTTGCTTCTCTGTCATGGACTTCTCTCCTATGGCTCTTGGGAGGCCTGAGAAAAGTATGTCTAAAAAATGGTTGCTGGCAAGCCTGTCGTCCCACTTATTGGGGACAGTAGGCAGATCCAGTCCTGAAGCTCAGGTCTGCCTCATGTGACAGTCCGAAATGAAGGCACATTTTAACTACCAAACTCTCTAGTGCAGTGCTTGCATTGAGCAGAGACGCTTGTAGGGATATTTAGGAATGACCGGATCATCATTTGTGGATGCCAGTTGTCTTGATCCTCTTCAGCAGGCGTTGATTCTTTATGTGATAAATAGTATCCTATGGTTCACCAAGATCAGTAGGAGTAGGCAAGTGCTGGTTGGATATACTGCATAATGTTACTGAAGTAATGACCGGTGCTATCGGACCAAAGGTTTTTGATTTCATTCTCTTAGCTGATCCTCTGTGCCTCCTGGAAAGCTGCTATTCTAGGTGGAGTGTCCTCTTTGAAGAGGCACCAAAGGAGCTGGAAGCTTCCCAATGTGTGGGATGTGTTAAATGAATGCTGCCTACCAAGGAGCTCTGGAAAGAAGAGTGAAGCTAGGAGCATTTGCAGGCTCCAGAACAGAGATCTGTGTCTCTGGACTATTCCTGACATCTCTTCTGCTTTTCAGTTCTCCAGCCTCAAGTCCAGAGCCTGGTGACGTCCTCCCAGGTTCAGCCAGTTACCATCCAGCAGCAAGTGCAGACTGTGCAGGCCCAGCGAGTGCTAACGCAGGCTGCCAACGGCACCATCCAGACGTTAACGCCAGCTACGGTCCAAACGGTTGCTGCACCACAGGTCCAGCAAGTTCCAGTAAGTAAAAATGCGGAGTGATGCAGGGATCCAGCAGAAGAAGAAATTGCTTTTGCAGGTCTGATCCCCTGGCTTGCTAGGGAAAAGGTGGCAAAGCCTGTAGGGCTGGTGGTCCTGGCTACGATTGCTTTTGCACAGACTTTTTTGCATGAGAGGTATTTCTAGCCAGCCTGTGTTCCAGAATCACTTTATGCTTGTCATGAGTGAGAGTCACTGTTGCGAGCTGTGATGTGACTTCAAGTGGTGGGCAACGTTCAGAAACCATTTTCACTAAAACACCCGCATAACTAAAGTTGGTCTGAAATATTGTATTAGATAAAAGTGTTTATGGCTAGGGGACTGTCTCAATATGACAGTGTTGCTCTGGTACAGTTGTACTGTTCCATCTATGGTGTTCTCTGCATTTGAGAGTCAACAAGGTATTTGAAAAAATAAGAGCAAGCTGTGTTATGGCAAAATAACTTACAGTTGGTGTTAATCTGTTTGATATTCATGGTTATTTGTATTATTCATGGGTATTCATATTCCTTTCAGTGAAATTGGAGGGGAGGGAAGCTACTACAGGTGTTTGCCAAAGCAGGCTGTCCTAGCCATGTTAGACTCTGAGTATTCAACCAGTTAATGTAGAGAGCTAATTATAGATGTAGCTGGAGAGCAGAAGGGAGCTTTTCCATCAGCTCTTTTGTGTTTTTACATACTCATTTACTTCTGCTGACTGGTTTGAAAACCAGTGTCTTGGTGTTCCCTTCGCTCCCCTCCCTCCAGAGTTGTTCAGACTGTCTCATGGTCAGAGTTTGCATCAGGGGCCAACAAAAATCATCCAGCTGATGCAGGGTGCAAGGTGAAAGAAATACTTGCCCTTGTTTCTGCCAACCACTGAGATAAAAAGTTACAACTCTACATCGCTTGATTTCTGACTACTGAGTTCAGCAGAGAAATATGTGCCTATTCTCCCTTCACCCATAACTCTTTTCAACCTAGGTTCTGGTCCAACCTCAGATCATAAAAACGGACTCTCTTGTCTTGACAACCCTGAAAGCAGATGGTAATCCCGTAATGGCTGCAGTACAGAACCCAGCGCTGACAGCACTCACTGCTCCCATTCAGACCACAGCTCTGCAGGTACCATGTGGATGTTCCCTCTTCCCTGTCCTCACTGATATCCTTTCCCCATTATGCAAGGAAGAGATTTGGGCTTTAGTATTCTGCAGTGGTGCAAACAGGAGGGGTTTTGAGGGCTGCCCTAATCATGTCCAGAGTGAGTAATACTCTACTTCTGCCAAGACTAAGCACACAGATTGTACTTTTTTGGCAGCCTCCCACATGGCCAGTAAGCAAAGACCAAGGGCACGTTTCTGTTTACCTTTTTCTGGTATTACAAGGAGAGGAGTATGACCTAAAAATTCCATCCAGTTTTTAACCTCTAAAAGATACTTGAAACTGAAAGCAAACTCAGTCCCAATACCTGTGGAACTGTCTTTTCCCTCCCCGTAATGTCTAATATCAGTATGTTGAATGTGAAAACAGGGCGTTTGCAGTGAGGATTCAGTATAATCATTGGAGATGGCAGCTGTGCTTCATGGCCTCCACTTCTTATCAACTCTGAGAAACTTTTGCCCCCAAAGACGCATTTATTATGATCTCTTACATTCTGAACAGACATCTGTAGACATGGCACTTGAGACATAGTTTAGTGGTAGATTTGGTTCCAAAAGGATCTCTGTTCAAATTTTTACTGGGGGAGATAAACTTGCAAGTCTAGACTTAATTTGACTTCTTTTGCACAGGACAGTAAGCTGCTTCTATACTTGTTAACAGCCAGGCTAAGATCTTCAATCAACCTATTGCTTTTAGATGACATTTTCATACTGAGATGAGGCTTACATGATTGTGTCTGTCTGAGACACAATCCGTAAAGCATTTTGAACACATTCAAATTTCGTGGAAATTAGCCAAGGAAAAATGTAGGACTTAAGTTCACTTATTTGTCAAGTTCCAGCTTGAAATGAAACTAGGTTCATTTCTAATATCCCAGGTAGAAGACGTATTTCAGAGTTGAAATTGTTCCTGAAGTTGCTTGTGGCTAGATTATTCTCATTTGTGTTAGTCTGTCTTTTGACAGAAGTAACTCTTCCTCTCCATAACCACTTCCCTGATCCTTGGTGTACTTTAGAGAACACATGTACCCTTCTCAGTCTTGTTTTGCTGGGTTAAGCATTCTAAATTTTCCTTACTCCAACTGTCCTAGAAGCCCCTCTGTGGAACTGTTCTGGTGGGATTCATCATCTTTTATTGCAGAGTACATACTGCTTTAGTTTGGTGTAGATGGTCTGCACTACATCTAGATGTCCAAATTTGAGCTTTTCATGCCAGTGTATACCACTCATTGCCTTAGTTCCTCATCTTAAGGCCTTTTTTTATAGCTTATGGATCTGTTTTTTTTCCATTTAATCAAATTCAAATCAACTTCATTGCTCAAGTCAAGGTTTGTTTTTCCGTAGTCGGATCCTCTCTACCACTGCTGTTACCAGTTTGGAAGTAGCATTGCCTGTTGCTGATTTGATGACTTCATTTGTCCACATAAAAGATGGATGTGGACATTTGGGGTGTAAGAATTGCAGAAGCAAGGAGGAGCCTTGGTCTCTTTCTCTATTTAGTGGATGAACAGAGCATGGTACTGGTGGAACAGCGTTGATGCTCTTGGAGAACAAGAGATGTTCTTACTCCACAGTGACCAGTGTGGCAGGCAGAGTGGCAGATTTTTCCTGTGCTGCTGTGCCAATGTTCATGCCAGCTAAGAAGATGTGAGGAAGTTGTCATATCTCTTCTTTTCTGAGCTGTACAAACTTTTCCTGATTCTTCTTTTCTTTAATCCTTTTTCTTTTACCATCATAAACATTACTGAATTGGCCGATTGCTCATGACACTTGTTACGCATGGTCTTTTTAGACCCTCGTTGGGAGCAATGGGACCATTTTGACAACAATGCCAGTGATGGTGGGACAAGAAAAGGTGCCTATAAAACAAGTTCCTGGGGGTGTCAAGCAACCGGAGCCACCTAAAGAAGGAGAGAGGAGAACAACTCACAACATTATTGAAAAGCGGTACCGGTCATCCATAAATGACAAGATCATTGAGCTGAAGGACCTTGTCATGGGGACAGATGCCAAGGTAAAGATGTGGAATAAGAGCAAATCTATTTGTCTTCACATGCTTGTTGCTCTACCAAATGAAGCAGTTGGGTACATATGACTGTTAGTAGCACGCACACATGCATTGGGGTAAGACTAGTGAGAAACACTTGCGCGATGGAAAGCTTGATAATTGTATTCAGGAACAGTCACCTGTAAAATGTTTATTTTACTATGCTAGTGGTACTGTTTCTTGAAATAAGCTGTACCTTATGTGTTTGTTCTTATGTTAGGTCTAACTTAAATAGGCCCTCTAGGTAGAATATCTAAGTAGATGTTTTGATAACTCTGCCAAACCAGAGCTTGCTTAATTTAAGCTTGCTTTTCTGTGTGACTGCAGCAGGGATGAGAGTTTACAGAGCTTTGGAATTTGTTTCCTTCAGATAGAGTTGTAAAAACTCCTGATTCCTCAAATATTAGAAGCTTTCTTGCACCATGTGCAAGAAATGTCTATTCACTTTACCGCATGTTGACAGACTACAGCGTAGTAGTCTTGATACCTTGCGTGGTCTCTGTACAAATACATGCACTAATGAAGTCACCTCCTGTTCCTGGGTGGAATTGGAAGCTTATGTTTTAAAATGTTGGTAATGTGCAGTGGCTTCATAGTACTTTGGGCTTGCGTTTACAAGCTAAATTTGTCCACTGCTGCTGGAAGCAAGTATTTTCATGGGAATGGCCAAGGGAGTGAGGCAAGGAGACAACCACTTGTCTCAGAATTAAACAGTGAACAATGGTTGACAGTAGCTTGTTTCATCCCAGAAGAGAGCCACTTCATTTCAAAATTATGATACTTTCAAAGGACTATTTCTGGCTGAAACCTAGATGTGAAGTCTATTGTCATTTGGATGTTAATCTGTTTCCATTGTACTATTTTTATAAGATCTTTGAGACACCTCAGCCCTCATGTGTCTTTCAAAGTCTGATACCTTGCCCACAGACTGTGCCCTGCTATTAGTTTCTCTGCAGCTGCTGAGTGGTCCTTTACACCCTTTTTTTTCTATCACCACACAATGCCAAGTGTGGTGGTATCCCTACAAGCAAGGGTGACCCTTTGACACTCTTCATCTAAACTGCTTCCTGTATGTCTTAATTCCTGGCAGATGCACAAGTCTGGAGTCTTGAGAAAAGCCATTGATTACATTAAATACCTACAGCAGGCCAACCATAAGTTGAGACAGGAGAACATGGTTCTGAAGCTGGCTAACCAAAAAAACAGTAAGTTGGGGGGGACGGGGACAGTCAGCATGCATGTAGGACGCCTCTTGCAGTTTTCTTATCCTTGTCAGATAACATGCATGTTGCATTGGTAGTGGCCAGTGTTACTCCAGGTGACAGAGCCAATCTGAGCAACACTGGTAGGGTACAGAAACGTGTACATAATGCACTCTGATTTTTGCAGAGCTGTTGAAGGGCATTGACCTAAGCAGTCTGGTTGACAATGATGTGGATCTGAAGATAGATGACTTCAACCAGAATGTGCTGCTGATGTCTCCTCCAGCCTCTGACTCAGGATCCCAGGCTGGCTTCTCTCCATATTCCATTGATTCAGAGCCCGGAAGCCCACTCCTTGATGATGCCAAGGTATTTGTGTCTTCAGCTGTCAAATTCAAGGCACGTACTTAAGGGGTGTGTAAGGGCCAGAACTTAAATTCTCCAGAGTGGAACCAGCAGATGTCTGGCAAGCAGATGTGTAGGGGTCAGAGATCCTCTGTAAGGATGAGGAAGGTGCATGAGTGTGTTTTATCTTTTCTTAAATGACTGAGACTACTCCCTGAGCTGTATTATTGGAGCCATACCTTAGCTGCTAGAACTGTACTTAGCCTTCAGCCCCTGTAGAGTCTCTGTGGACTGACAGTGCATGACCCAAAGAGCCCATGGCTTTCCAGGGATATATATGTCCAGTGAATAAAGCAGAACTTGGAAATGGATGATGACATCAGTTTTGGTTAATGAGACTGTAAGTAAACACAGTAACAGAAAGTGGTTAGCTGTCTTTGACTGACATGTTTGTTTTGTGTATATCACAGAAGTGGTGGGTCTCCTGGGAGATCCCCAAAAGAGTAAGGACAGCAAAGGTTAATCCTAGCCTAAACCAGAGATCCAGTTAATGATAACTGAGACGACTGGGAGCAGAAGGAAGGTGAAGGCACTCAAATACTTCAGCCTTATCTTATTAAGCTAGGGGAGCCTTCACTCGAGTTCTTTCTGATCATGATCTTAAAAGCAAGTTTTAAAACATGTTCTGTTTCTCCTTCTTCCCTACCCCTCCCTTGGAATAAGCATTTTTTGTTCCACAGAATGGAAAGCAGTTTTTTCCTTCTCTTACTTTTCTCTCCACTCCTATTCCTTTGAAGGTTAAAGATGAGCCTGACTCTCCTCCTGTAGCTCTTGGTATGGTGGATCGCTCTCGAATACTCCTCTGTGCTCTCACGTTCCTTTGCCTTTCCTTCAATCCTCTGACATCCCTCCTGGACGCCCGAGGAGCTACAGAGTCTGACAGCCTGGTGCGCCATGGCTCTGGCAGGAATGTGCTGACCATTGAGTCAGGTAACAAACTAGAATAGTTTGGACCACAGAAAGTGGCCAAGCTTACATGGTCTCCTTAAAGACCATCTCCAGCTGTGGCAGCTGCAGGTCACGAGGTGGACTGTCGGTGTGATTCAGTAGGGTGGTTTGTGTATTCAGGGAGTTGTATGACCTTTGTTTAATGCTTGAGGAGGGGTGATAACTGCAGGGTTGGGCATGGGAGGAGAGCCAGCCAAGAGTGCTTGGACATGGTTCCAGTTTGCATTTGCATCCAGTGTTCTTCTTGCACAAAACCAGCTGTTCCTCAGTGTGGTGAGGCAGATGGGGCACCTGTTTGTAGCCCAGCAGCCTGGGCTCTCAAGATAGACCCTTGAAAAGTAGTTCAGGGTAAAGGGCTTCCTCCTGTCCTCCCCAGTCTTTGAGGCATGTTCATCTTATATTTGTTTTTAAGGTAACGGTCTGATTTTTGTAACTTTATTATTAAGTTGTAGGTGAAGAATTACTTCACAAACACTGTTGCTCTATGGGCTTGCAACTGTCTTGTTCAATATGCTTATTCCATAATATTAATAGTTTAGAGTACAGCAGCTTAGGGGAGGACAGAGGATTCTCTTGGCATGCTGTCATTTCCCTGACTGGTAAATACACTTCCTTGGTGTCGCTTTGTAAACTTAATTAAAACTAGAAAATGACACTGAAGTATTGAGTACCCATGGGTGTGTCTGATAGAAAAATCAGAATACAAGGTACTCCAGGAAAACTTAAGTGCTGACTCAGTTTTTTTATAAACCAGTCTTGTAAAAATAACTATTTTTTTTTTAGTTGGGAATGTTGTGGCTTGGAGTTTGGATGAAGAGCTGTTGATACAGGTGTTTCCTGATTAAAATGCAGTCTGCAAAAATTGATACCACATGTGGCAAGCATAGCAGGACATCCTTCTGGGTCTGTGCTTATCCTGTTGCTAGGCTTTCAGTGTCCAGATTGACTTTCAACTTTCCTTTTGGGATGTCCATTGCAGATGCAGGTGGTTGGTTTGGCTGGATGATGCCCACGCTGATCCTGTGGCTCGTGAATGGAGTGATTGTACTGAGCGTGTTCATAAAGCTCCTTGTGCATGGAGAGCCAGTGACCCGGCTGCACTCAAGGTCATCGGTCACATTCTGGAGGCATCGTAAGCAAGCAGACCTGGATTTGGCACGGGTAAAGTTGACTTGTTGTTTTGTGCCAAACACATCTTCTAGGAAGGGATGTGGGTAAATGTGGCCTAGTGAGGCAGGGGCTTGGCACTTGCAAGAGCATGATGTTCCCTGAGTGGATTACCCTGTCTGATTTCAGAGGAGCTAGTGCTAGGTTGTCTTGAGTGGATTGCCATCCTCCCTCAGTCTAAACTAGCAAGACATGGACATCAGCAGTGAAAGAGGCTCCTAACTTCTGCCCTTGTTCCTTGCTGCTGCATCTTGTAGCAATCTTTGGCAGCAAGGTCTTGGTTTTTGTCCAGAATCTGTCCTCTGCTGTGTGTCTTTGTCTACTGTCCTCCAGCTTCTTGGAAGTCTTCTGAATTGTTGAGGCAGCATTTGACTTTTGATATGGGGACCCTGAAACTTCCATGTGGTTTTAGAAGGCAGGAACCTCCTTTCACCTATTGCCAATGTGTTTTGCAGGCAGTGCTGGATCAGAGCCATGCGTGGAAAGATATGTGTAGGGCCAGATTTGAAGCTGGTGTAAATTGCCTTCGTGTTTACTAGGACTGTGTTGGCTTCCCTCAGCTAAAGATCTTGTCTTAGCTTGCGCATCAGTTTGTCTTGCTCCATGCCGAGGAGGTCCCGAAATGTCTCTGGGATGGTGCTTCCAGTTGTTGAAATTTTTGTCCTATTACTTGCAGGGGGATTTTGCTGCAGCTGCATCAAACCTGCAGACTTGCCTGTCGGTACTTGGCCGAGCACTGCCAGCTTCCCGCCTGGACTTGGCCTGCAGCCTGTCCTGGAACGTGATCCGCTATAGCCTGCAGAAACTGGCGCTGGTGCGGTGGCTACTGAAGAGGACTTCTCATCAGTGGCGGGCCAGGGAGGCTACGGCAGGCTTTGAGGATGAGGCCAAGACCAGTGCTCGGGATGCAGCTCTAGCATATCACAAGCTCCATCAGCTCCACATAACAGGTAGGAGCAGAGGTGGCAGATCTGCTGTGCTTGTTTTGCCAAATGAGGAGGCTCAGATCTGATCCTGGGGGATACAGAGAGAGCACTACAGCCTCCTTCCTCTGGGAGGGCTGCTGCTGGAAATCAGCTCAGCAAATTTCAGAAACCACTTACTGAAACACAGGCTCATGCAATAGAAGAGCTCTGTAAGAATGGCCAAAGCAACAGCAGTATCTCAAGTTATATGTTCCTGAGTCTGCAGAGGTGGCTGAGAATCTTTCCTAAGCAGCAGTTCATTGAGTCCAGTCACTTTTTGCTGCTATTAAGGGCTTGTTTCATCTCTGTCACTTGGGAACTTGATGTGGAAGCCAAGACTGGGGTTAATTGCTGGGAGAATATAAATTTCCGAAGCTGTGTAGAGTGCAGATTGCCAGTTGGTGTTGATACTCTTTCAAAACCTGGGTGTGTGCGCATGTACTAAGGAAGTGCTTGAATGTTCCTTGTGAACTGTTGTTTTTGCCATTTCCTTGGCAAACCGATTTTCAGTATTAATAGGCTCCCAGCACATCAGAAATCCAAGCTGAACATCCTTCTGCCCAATCATGCTGTGTGAATTGCAGATGTGCAGATAGGCGTAAGTGTAGGTACAGGTGTGGACTGCAAATGAGTTCAGTTTAAGATAGTGATTAATAGAGTGAGACAAAATTTGCTGCTGATTTTATTCTAACTTGTTTAGCTATTCACAGCTTTCTTGCAGAAGCAAAACTGTGCATGCCAACATTGGTGTCTGTGGAGGAAAGATTTGGTTATGGTTGTACTGTTGCCTGGCAAAGTAGGCATATGATGTTTGTAACTTCTCATGTCAACAGGCTGTCATTGTCTCTTTAGGCCCTGCAAGTCATGGTAGTATTTAGTAGCTGGTACTTCTGCATTAAAAGTTAACACTTTTCCTTTCCCTGCTGCTGCTGCAGGTAAACTTCCCTCCAGCTCAGCTTACTCAGGCTTGCACATGGCCCTGTGTGCTGTGAATCTGGCTGAGTGCGCAGAAGAAAAGATCCCACCCAGCACAATGGCAGAAATCCACCTCACAGCTGCAGTTGGCTTGAAAACCCGCTGTGGAGGAAAACTTGGCTTCCTAGCAGTGAGTTCATTGTCTCCTCTCCCTTCACACCTCCAAGCAGAGCTCTGGGAAGGCCTGCAAGCTGACATTGCTGTAGCTCAGGGCATCTGGTAGCACTACAATTACAATATAGCCTGCAACTGTGATATGAACTGTAATTATGATATGACATTGTTCTTGGTGGTGTGTCTCTTTCCCTGGATGCTGTTCTTAATCTTAGCCTCTCCTTTCCTCAGAGCTACTTTCTAAGCCAGGCTCAAAGCCTGTGCAGCTCGGAGAGGAGTGCCATTCCTGACTCGTTGCGTTGGCTGTGCCATCCCCTAGGACAGAAGTTTTTTGTGGAGCGCAGCTGGACGGTGAAGTCTGCTGCAAAGGAGAGCCTGTACTGCACCCAAAGGAATCCTGGTGAGAGCCACTTGTGTCCTGAGTGCATGGCCTCCCACTGCTTCGAGCATGGGAGTCTCTCCAGCTCTGGGACAAAAGTGGGTGTCTTGTTTGAGAATGTGTTCTTGTATGACTGCCCTGCATGTGGTCTTGATGGGCGAGAGGAGCTGTGGAGCTGAGACATGTTTCCTCCACCTGCAGGAGCTGGCTTTCTTCCCTTTGTATACTGCGTTCTGTCATCCTGCTTGTGTCCTTCACGTGCTGGCACACAACCTGGGTGTGGCCCCGAATGCCTGGGGGGTGACTTTGGCCTGACCAGGGTTTATCCTCTGCAGAGCAGTGTTATCACTCTTCTGCTGAGTGGCTGAAGTGCCAGAGAGATATTTAGCCAAGGGCTGCAGCTTTATAAATGGAAATGGATTAAAGGGTTAAAAAGACCCTGAAAACTTAGTCTTTAGAAATCTTATCATGAATTCCTCAAGAGTTTCCCACTACTGCTCTTCCTTTTGCACCTACATTTTGATGCTTTTTGTATCAGGAGGTGGCTATCACCATATGCAGTGAAACGGTTTGGGTTTTTTTTATTCTTCTCTAGCGGATCCTATTGCACAAGTTCATCAGGCGTTTTGTGAGAACCTGCTAGAGCGAGCAGTGGATTCACTTGTGAAGCCTCAGACTAGGAAAGAGATAGCAGGACAAGAGGAGGAGGAGCCATGGTAAGTTTTGAGTGCCATGCTGGGGACTGTTTACCGCAGCTGCAGGCTCTGAGGCAGAGCTCATAGCAGTTGACTGAACACTCTGGGGAAAATTGAGTGGTTAGTCCTTATTAAATGCTTGAAATGGCTATGTAAGTCTGACCACCACAACTTATTAAAAGGGTGAGCTCTGCCCTTTTGTCTTAAAACCTCTGAAATCAAAGGTGAAGCTGGGTGTGGTAAGGATTTCTGTTACTGGCTTGCATAGTACTGGTTGATTCCTGGACGGGATGGATGGTACTTTCTCTGCTGTGGCAAAGTTTAATGTTCAGGAGCACTAAAATTAGTGTGCATCTACCACTTCTATACACCAGCACATATGTCCAGGGCTCTACGAGTGTGAAAGTCTGGCATGTCAGTGACCTCACCAGCCTGCTACATTATGCATGAGTGTTCTCCTAACTGAAGTGCCACATATACCAGCAGTGAAAAATCAAACTGACATGTGGTCAGAGAGGGAGAGATGATGTTGGCTGAAATTGTCATTGCTTCTAAGCTCTGTGACCAAATGAAAGGGACCAATAGGTGAGAATCGGAGCAGCTTTTTCTACTGAAACATGTCCAGCTCTTTCCTGGGCTCCATGGGAAGTGGAGCCTCAGCCTTTGCCAGTGATTCTGCACTGTTTCTAGCTGGTCTCCAGATATGCTGGTGCCAGGCAAATGCTATGTAAATATGTGGGAAGCTCTGTAAAGATCCTGTCCCCAAAAAGTGTGGGTAAAAGCCTGAAATGAGAAGATAACCTGTTTTTCCCTACCTTTGTAGGGAAAATATTGCACATTTAGCTGCTTTTTTCCCAATCTTATGTCTGTTTTCTAGCATTGTTGCAAGAACAAGCAGCATTTCAGTCTGCTTGCACAATACAAATGCTTGTAACCAGAGGCTGCTGTTGATGATGAAGGAAGGAAGCAGGATTGGTATAAGTGAGGTGGATTGTCAGTATGCTTGTAGGAGTCTTGTCTCCTTTTGGGAAGACCTAGATTTATTGAATCAGCAAGCCTTTTTGTCCCCCTCTAGGGGTAGGAGCTCAAGATCTTCCTCTGTGGCATGTTCCAGGAAATTAGACTGTTGATCCATATGCTACTTTCTCTGACCAATGCTATGAAGGTGTTGTCACTTGCATTCATATTTACATATATGCAAACAGTCACTTGCAGAAGTGTAGTTCAGCCTGTCTTGGAGGCAGTGATTGAAAAGGAGCCTGTAATGAACTTGTAACATATGTCATGTCTATCAGCAGATTCAGGACACTGGAGGGGGTGCTGGTGGCTTCTGTTTAGTATTTGTAGGATTTGGGTTGCTGATACAGATTCTCTCTCACTTTAAATATGTATTACATGCTTTAAGCTGCTTCTTAGTCCCTTCCATGAGAGTGATACCGCCTTTTTTAAGGACTTGAGTACAGCCTGCTCCCCTGTCCCTTAACCGAAGAGCAAATGTCCGTGGCACACAGTCCACAGTAAGTTCCAGCATCTCTGTAGCTGAGGTGAGAGCACTGGGGTTGACTCCACTTCTGCACTGCTCTCCTTGCACAGGGAAATGTAAGGCTACTTCTTGCTGAGTATCTTTTAGGGAGGTCTCTTCAGTGTTGTGTTACTTACAGAGCTTGAACTTTTTGCAGGCTTAGTGGGTCAACACTGTTTAAAATTGTGACTGATGAGAAACACCTTCAGGCGTTGGTATCTCCTGTTTGACAGCATAGCGAAGGTCTGCCTTGCTTCTCGTTTCAGTGAGTTCTCCAGTGCCATGGAGTACCTGAAATTGCTCAACTCTTTCTTGGACTCAATGGGAAGTGGAGCCCCACCCTTTGCCAGCAATTCCGTACTCAAGTCTGCCCTGGGTAAGTCCAACAGAACTGAAGCTCTCCCAGCTGCAGGAACTACTGCTGACATGTGTTCCCCCTCTCCCCTGCTACCTGTCAAACTCCAGGCAAGGAGAAATGCAGTCCTGGAAGTGGGACTTGGTTGCTGAGGAGCAGCACACTGCAATGTGGTGTGGCAGCTCAGGCTGGAAGAGGGTGATTGGGAAGGCTTGTACGTTCGGCTGTGTTGTTGTAACACTGGGTGCCCAGGTGGAACTGCTGATGTTTGTATTGCTGGCTATGTTCCAAGCTGAATCCCATGCCCTCACTGAAAGCTTGCTCCTGATAATGCAAAGTGAGAGGAAGGGTGTAACATATAAACAAACATAGCCGTGTTGCAGTTGAGGTACAAGAAGGTGTTTTTTTCCATTTAATTACCTGTTGGACCAAATACAGGTTGACTTTACTTTCACAGCAGCTGTCATGTATATTCCTCAATCTCCAGAGACCTGCAGTCCCTGCTGTAGGCAAGCTTTGAGCATACATTGGGAAGTGCTTTGTTTGGTCCCTTGGTGTATATTTAGTGGGACAATGAGAGCTGTAGACTCCCCCGAGCTGTGTGCTCATCAGCTTGGCTGGTAGTAGGCTGCTGGAGTACTTGTCTTGCTGTTGGTACAGTTAGCATCTGGCTCACTGGGATGCTGCTGGAGCTTTAGACACAGACTTAACTGTGCTGTACCTAAAATGTGTAGAGCAAACACAGAAGGAAAACTAGATATTTCTTGTTCTAGGAAATTTTTTTGGTATGAAGGGAAGTCAGTGTTTGGGTCAACATTGTCATGAAATTTCAAAGCAGGTCAGAGTAGCCTTTGGTCCTGGGTAGGCTTTGGGAAGTTTTTGAGGGGATGTTAAATAATGGGGGATATTATATAGGAAACCTGAATTACTGGCTTAATGGTGATGGTGATTAGTGCCAAGGCATGGTATATAGCAATGGAGTTGTTTTGGGGTGGTGAGTGGAGATCCTTGTTGGGAAGGAAGTCAACAGATTTCTAGAAAGGTAGACAGAGTAAATTCTTGTTAATGAGATATAAACTGCATCCAAAACGCTGCTTGGAATCAGATTAGAGTGTTTGCCTGCTGCTAAGTTCCTTCATGTTCTTGCAGCACATTTCAGTGTTTACCCAGATGGCTGCATTCCTGTGGGATCAGTTAGGGCTCATTAGCATCTATCTTGGGGGAAGGCACTGACAAGGGCATGTGACCCCTGCCTGCTTCTCCACAAGTGGGAAGGAGCCGGGTGTCCTCTCCTGGGCTGCAGCTTATGATTCTGTTTCACAGGCCCTGACGTGGTGTGCAGATGGTGGTCAGCAGCAGTGGCTATGGCAATCGGTTGGCTCAGAGGGGACGATGCAGCTGTGAGGTCTCATTTTGCAGAAGTGGAGCGCATGCCAAAATCCCTGGAGATGTCAGAGTACGTAGGCCTTGCACAACTTTCAGACCCCTGCTCCTTCTAAACATGGCTCTTCCCCTGATGCTGGAGTTGCATGCCTCTTGTGCCTCTGGGACGCAATAACACAACATGAGAATGTACTCAGCAGTTCATGTGTAGGTCAGGGCTTGAAGACTGGTATTAGAACTGTGGACTGGAGGTATCAGAATTACTTCTTCAGGGTTGTCTTTTGGCTTTGTTCTAATTGCACAGCTTCCTGCCTGCCAAAGTCAAACAACAAAACTCACACACTGATGGAAAGGCTGGTGTCACCATCTTGGTTCTTTTGCACTAAAGCATCTTTGCCAGTTTCCTTCCATTTCTCTGTGCAGTATGTGTAGGTGAGGAACAATTTCCATCTTTCTTCTGTCTAAGAGATGATGATATCTCTGCTCTCAAAGATGGGAGGGTGAAAGCTGATGCTGGTTAATGCTTGAGCTCAGCTCCTGGGGCTGCCCTATGACAGCATGACATGGTACCACTTGAAAGCAGTGTGCTCTTTCTCTTTCAGGAATGCCCTGGTGAAAGCCACCTTCTATGTGTGTAAAGCCATGCAGGCCTCATTGTCTGGGAAGGCAGATGGACAGCAGAGCTCCCTGGGTCACTGTGAGAGGGCCAGCAGTCATTTATGGAACAGCCTCAACATGACCAGCGGCGGCTCTAGCACCATCCTCAACAACGTAAGAGTTATAAGCCCCCGGATAATACATGGTCTGTCTTGGTTGTAAGGTTGGTCTTGCTGCAAGTGTATCATTTCTGTGTTACACTGTTGTATCTGCATTCTCTGTATCCATCCTGTGTCTCATGGGAGTAGAGGGGAAACTTCCTCCCTTTCCTTGCAGAGGGCATTGACATCTTTTTGCTTCTGCTTTATGGAGGAGCAGAGCTGCAAGTACAACGTTGTCTCCCTGGGCATGGTCTCAGATAGCCAAGCTCTCGCTCTTCTCCTGCCAGTAGCTGTCACCCCTTTCTGGTGCTTTGACCGCTTTGGATTTGGCCCATGGGAAGCATCCCTCTCCTTCCTCCAAATGAAGTTGCTGACACCTGTAAAGCAGGACCTCATTAAGTCAAATATACTCTGTTTCAGGCAGCACTCATGAGTGTTTGAACCCTCCTCCGCAAAAGTGGGACTGTGCCATGCTATTCCTGAGTTTGTGTGGGGTTTGCTTCTCTTCTTTCCAGGTTTACCTAAAGCTGGATCTTCTCTTCGTGGCATATGGGACACAGTTCTGATCCCTTCTGTCGCTCCTGGGTGGCAGCTGTAGTGCATTGTAGTTGCATTGCATGTTGTGGCAGTAACTGTGCAATGTTTCTGCAGTGCAGTACAGAGGCACTCTCCACTTTGACAGTGCAGATAGAGTCCCCTGAGAGCAACCAGAACAGCGAGTGATGCTAGGGGGCATCAGCAGATGGGAAAAAGGGATTTGAGCAGCCACTGTGGGCTGTGTCAAGACTGCCTTTGTTGTCTCTCCAGGTAGCAAGGCTGTCTTTGTTTCCCTCTAGTTAGTATCACTGTTTGGGCAGAAAAGCCTTTACAGAAGGCGGGGGCGTTGCTGGTGGAACTTGTCTGAAGTGGGGTTGGGGTCAGCCTTGCCAGAGGTGTTGGCCCTCCTGGAGGGGACAGCAGCTCCTTAGGCACAGCCTGGCACTTGGGCAGAAGGCAGAGTCCTGCTCCCTTTGGTGCATTGCGGTAGGGTGACTTGGCTGGGAGGGCTGGGGAACTCCCCCAGGGGTCAGGAGGTGCTGCAGCCACCTTCCCATGGGCTGTATCAGCAACTGTGTAGCAAATGGCACTCATCTGATGGCATGTGTTAATAAGCACGTGTGCCCGGGTACCCTGGCTCTTGCAGATGATCCAGCTGCTGGCCTGTGACTTGCTGCTCTCTCTCCGCACCAGCCTGTGGCAGAAGCAGGCGAACGCCAGCCAGGCCCTGGGTGAGACCTACCACGCCTCAGCCCCTGAGCTGACGGGTTTCCAGCGTGACCTCGGCAGTCTGCGCAAGCTGGCCCACGGCTTCAGGCCTGCCTATCGCAAGGTGACGTCTTGCCTTCCCTGCCTGCTCTGCCTTCCAGCTTAGCTATAGTCTTTCCTGGGGGGGTGATGGGAAAGCTGCAGCACTTGGAAACGTGGAGGGTGTATGGGCCTGAGCAGTTTGGACACCTGGGGTAGGATGGTCTGCCACCAGCAGCCTCCATACTTTTACTTGGTGGGTGATAAAGGGCCTCCCATGGGAGTCTGGTGCATGTGGGGAGGTGTCCACCTTAGTTTCTACCTAGAAAACCATCAGCACTGTTGTACTGCCAAGCAGATACCATGGCATCCTGTCCCTTAACGTGGCTTCAGACCTCATCAGTCCCTCCAGGTAGTGTGCAAGGAGGGCCATGTTGGCCCTGTGGGTAGCTGGGGTGGTGTCAGATGCCTTCTGTACCTTTAGAGCACCAGGTGCTTCTCTGGGGATTTTCTGTTTAGTCTGTCTAGTTCTAAGTCTCTATAGAGGAGATGTAGTCTTAGACTTGGACAAGAGAGTTGTCTTGGTATTGTCCAGCTCTCGATTTCAAAGTCTGATGCTGTTATTAGAGCACTGCCCTAGCAGCCTGGGGTGAGATGCCTGCCTAGGCCACAGTGCTAGGGCTTGCTCTCCCATTTTCTACCCTGTTCACTGCTCTTGTTCCTCCCCCTTTCCAGGCCACTCAGTTATGTGTCAAAAGCTTTTTCCCCCCCTCTTCACAGTTGCCCTGACCTGCGAATTTCCCAGAGACAGGTGGGAAGATCAGGGAGCTGTGGGGAAGTGGGTCTCTTCTTTGTCAAGGTGTCAGCACTCCACTCTCAAAATGTGGCTGAGGGATGATGTGAGTTCAGCTGCAGCATCACCCCTATGGCAGCCTGCCTCTCACCCTCCCCCCCAACAATCCTGCCTTCCCTTCCAGGTCTTCCTCCATGAGGCCACCGTGCGCCTGATGGCAGGTGCCAGCCCTACCCGCACCCACCAGCTGCTAGAGCACAGTTTGAGGCGACGCACACCCCAGAGCAGCAAGCAAGGTCAGCCCCGGGGCCCAGGCAGCGACCCCACTACCTGTGGGGCTGGGGAGGGGCAATGCTTAGGCAAGGTGGGGGGGCGTAGCAGCAACCTGCAGCCTCTTCCCCATGTCTGAGGCTCAGGATAACAAGCTCCCGTCAGCCTACGGCTCACAGCGATGCTTCTGCCATGCTCTCTACAAGCTGGCTAACGTGAGCTGCCAGACCTGGGCTAGAGGTGTTGGCAAACAGGCTGGAAAACATTTGCCTTGATGCAGCCACGCGTGCACAAAACTTGGCAGGCTGGAGTTTGGGGTGGTCGGTGCAGAAGAATGCCAGGAATCCTGAAGGGGAGTGCCAAGAGATGTGGTGCTGATTATAAAATCTCTTGGGTGTTTAAGGAACTGGGCAAGATGTGTGTGCTGGTGCTGGGATGAGCCCTAGGAAGTGAAGTGAAAGGGACTGTCTTTGTAGAAGACAGGATTGCCAGTCAGTCCCTGCCTGACTCCAGCTCAGACTGTTTTCTGCTAGCCCAGAGCAGCTGCTTCGGTGTCCACAGGGTGTCCCCCATAGGGCACCCTCCCAGCTGTGAGATGCCAGCCAGAGATGCTGGTGCTCACTGGTGCCAGTTGAGAGCCTGCATGGCAGGGTTTTGTCATGCAGGTGGAAGCTCCATCGTGAGCTTTCTTTCTTTACCTGTAGGTGAACTGGACACGCTGCCAGGCCAGAGGGAGCGAGCCACAGCCATCCTGTTGGCCTGCCGCCACCTCCCCCTCTCCTTCCTCTCCTCCCCGGGCCAGCGAGCGGTCCTGCTGGCTGAGGCCGCCCGCACCCTGGAGAAGGTGGGGGACAAGCGCTCCTGCAACGACTGCCAGCAGATGATTGTCAAGCTGAGCGGGGGCACGGCCATCGCTGCCTCCTAACGCTGGCATGGGGCCACCTCGTGCGAAGACAGCCTGGTAGACTGTCGGCATGGACTTCCTTTCTGGAGCTTAAAATAAAAAAGTGCTAGGTTAGGGCTGTGCCGATGGGATCGTGATGGGTGGGAAAGGGAGGGAGGGTTTTGTTTTGGTTTTGGTTTGTTTTTTACTTTGCCCCAGGTTTAGTTTTATTAGCCCCCTTGCTTGTTCTCAGGCACTGCAGCAGGAATCTGTCTAGTTGTGGTTTTCATGACCATGCCTGGGGCCATTGGGAAGTGCTGCCCCAACCCAGGGCAGGAGCCCACAAGCCCAAGGGATAGAGAAGTGGCACATCCTGTGTCTGTCCTCAGGGGCATCTTGTTCCCTTCCCGAATACTTCAGTGGAAAGAAACCTTTGGGGAGGGTAGAGGAACCCTGCGGGGCTGCTGGTTTCTGGGGCTGTTCCTGAGAGAGAGGGGGAAGGCACCAACTTTCCTTGAGCTGGTGTCAGGAAACTGAAGCCCCTTAGACCCAACTTACAGAGGTGCTCTGGAAGTATCACTTGGGGCCAGTACTGCCTGACAAATTTCTCTACAGTTTTTATACAGGTTTTTTTTATAGGAGTGTTTGTGGCTTTACAAAAACAGGGAATGATGCAGCAGATTTCCCTTCTCTGCTTCACGTGTCTCCTTCCTGTGATAGCTGCCTCTGTTTTTTGGCAGGAGGCTGGGTTTGTGGCAGTCTGCAATAGGCAGAGCCTTGTAGAAGTCTGGGGCATCCCTAGTCTTCTGGTGCTGGGTGGCAGCAGAGTTGGATGTGCAGCGCCCTGCATTCGGCGTGAAGAGTGAATGCTGCTCTGGTGCCTTTTTGTTGATGCAGAAACAATTTTTAGAAACAGGGTTTTTTTCATTTTACTGAACTCCCAATCCTAGAACTTCAGGTGTTTCTCCTTCCGTTTAACTGCTCAACAGCTGCTGAAGTCCTGCAGGGACTGGGAGGCACTGGTTCAGGGTGTGTCTCCCAGCTCTGTTACAATTGCTCTTCAGAGCAGTTTGTCTTGCAGGTGTTGAATCGCATGTGACTTTCCAGGAGGGGAAGACGGATTGGGGACAGGGATGGAACGGTTTGCCCTCTTTCTCTCTGCCTTTCTTGTTGCATCTCTCCAAAGGAGTGCAAAGTGGTTGCCCTCTCACATGTGCAAATGTGGAAACCAGCCATTGGCAGACAGGCATCACTGTTTGCACCAGTGTGTGCTCAGTGTCACTGGCTGCAGGCACTTAAACAGGGCAGCAGCGCAACCTTATCCTGTCCCAGTCAGGCCTGTACAGCCCGATTCCTCCTGCAAAATCAGAACTTGAGCTGTCTTGCAAGAAGCTTCTACATGTATCCAGCTTCTGCAGAGGGGCATGAGAGCTTGAGCTCCTTCCAGAATGAGGGGAAAAAGATGGGGTCTTGTCTCAGTTTGCATGGGGTCTTCTGGCATCAGGGAGGTTGTGTTTCCAATCAGTGTAGGGGTTCCTCTGGCAGACATTTCTGCTTTGAGCTGGTATCCTAAGTGCGCAGAACAACTCTTGGGTTTGGGTGGGTTTTGATTGCCTATTTCAAGCTTCCTAGCCTATTTAGTGATCCTATTTTGGAGGGTGGATCACATCGTCCTACTTTTTCTCCTCTTAAGTGGCTCTCACACTGTGTTTCCTAAAGTACAGAACCCCCTTACCTGTGGCAACCTCAGAGTTACTTCACATTTTCCCAGATTTGCATCTAACATGTGGGAAGTTTTGTGCTTTAGTAAAAGAAGTGAGACTTCTGGAACACTGAGATGCTGTGGCTTCACTTTGTCAGTGGAGGTGGACTGAGTCCTGGGGGGTGGGCTGCAGGGAGTACTGGCTGGGCTGGGCTGGGGATGGAAGGCTGCTGCGCTGAAACCCTGGTAGTTAATGGCATGATCCATGGAGAGTCTTAGCACCTGCTAGTAGTTCTCTCCCCTCCAGGCCAAGGGATCTTTGCCCTGTTTTTTCTATACTGTTCATAAATTTGCTGCCCATCTGCCCTACAACTTTTTTTATATGTGTGTATATATACTGTAACTTTGTTTGCGGGTGGGAGGAAATTGTTTTATGGATTATTTGAAGAAAGTCTATTTATCCACATGGAGTTTGGAGTAGGGATGCTTTGTGAAACTAGGTGTAACGTGGTGGGGAGGTTCCCCAGGGAACATATCTGCTGTCTGAAAACCCTGTTCCAGGGCTCCTGAGCATCTGTTACTTAATAAAGGCGAACGTTACCACCACTTCCCGCCTGCCCTCTTTCTCCTGGCCTTTTTCATCCCACCCAGCAGTTGCCTGTAAGCATAGGTGAGCCTGAAACAGAGACATCCAACTGCACAAGTGCCTTGGGAAGCTGTCACTCCTTTGGAAAATGGAGCTGTATGGCTTGCAATGAGACGATCCCTTGGTGGAGCAAGTGTGGTGTCTTCTGTGATCCTTTGGAAGCAACCCAAGAGGCTGAGGGCTTGAGCAGAGCCAAACGAGGCAGAGCTTGAGCCAGAAGCCTGCAATTTTAGGAGCATCTCTATGGGAGGAAAGCTTTTACCTGACCTTGCTTGGAACAATGTCCTTTTGCTCTATCTCTTCATTTCTCTGCTTCCCCCTGGTAAAACTCTGTCAGAACCATTAAACTTCAGCCACAGATCTGTTTGCTTTTCACGTAGCTGCTCAAAGCATTTTGCAGTTGGCCCAGGAAGCTGTTCCCACCACATCCCTCATTGGGGGGGGGTTCCCTGGGGGCAGGGGCTTTGCACCCTGCCGCCTGTGGGGAAGGGGCTGGTGTTTTGGGAGCAGCACGGGGTCCCCCAGCCAATCCATACCAAGGCAATACAGTTTAATGTATTATTTATTGACAAGGTGGAGGCTGGGGCAGGGGAGAAGAGTAGGCTAGAGAGGGAAAGAGGCTGCTTGGGCTCTGCTGGCAGCACAGGATTGTGCTTTGAGTCCGTTGCTCTTCCTCCACCTGCTCACAGGGGCTAGGCAGGGATGCCTGGCACCAGCAGGATGTGTCCCCCCATTCCTCGGGGCTGTGGTCTGTCCAGCATCAGCCACCATCCCCTGAGCTGCACACTGTTTTGTCAATGTGGCCCCAATTCAGCCTCTTCATAGGGTGGGCTGAGAATGGCTGGAACTTTTTACCCACGTGAGAGGGACAGCCTGGCCCATGGTGCCTCCTTGATGGTGAAGCACAGCCCAGCTGCGGGAGAGGAAGGAGGGCACATCTCTTGCCATGGCCAACTGTTGTGGTTTATGTAGGACCTACGATGCTTTGCTCCAGCAGGCTGCCCCTGGGGGATGCTGTCAGCGACACTCAGGCAAGGGGGCAGTCCCAGCCCCCAGTGGCACAGGCCATCAGACGGTGACCTCGGTCTTGCTGTTGGTGGTGAGGTGCCGGGGGGGCTGGCCGTACAGCAGGGTGGCGGGGCCGAAGGCCTCAGGTGGCCCCTCGGGGTGCAGGGTAGCCAGGCCAGGCCAGCGGGTGCCGCGGGGGGGGGC